TAGACGATTTATTCGTTCATACCCTTGAAGGTATTGCTTTTAAACGACACTGTGCAAAATTGCATACATACCTGCATATGTAGATACATATTTGGAGATTTACAGTTTCCTGGTCACCTTCTAATCATGCTCCCTAAATAAATGCTGCGGTGAACCCACTCAAGTATCCACAAATATTTCAGTCTATTCATGGATACCATTTTGTTGCAAGGACATTTTTCATATGGCCAGACTACCTACTGAAGGACAAATAAAATACTGAAGTCTATTGCACAATTTTTAGTCAATAAGTTTTGCACAGAAATATTTCGCCTCAGGTTTGTCTTAAGTAGTTTCGGTTAATATGGCAGCCAGTTCAAAGGACTAATTTAATTAGAACATGCAGGTCCATTCTGATATGACTGTAAAACCCAGAGACCTATATTTCATGGAACCATTCCGCGAGAGAGCAAACGCGAGAGGCTGACCTTGAAGACGGTGCTGATGCCATTTAAGACTGCCAGATATTTATATACATATGTTCACCTTTGATCGTAGCATTACCGCACTCATTGATTTGATGTCAGCCTGGCTATCCGAGAAGATATTAATCGTTCTCTTCGTTACGCCGCGTGTATTAAGGTACATATTCATCTCCTTCATGGCTATAACTTCTACCTGGTAAACGCTGCGGTGGTCCTGTACACGTTCCGATAATTCCAGAGAAAACTCCATAGCCAAACCTATTGTCTAGCTTATATCCATCTGTGTAAAAATTTAATTCCCCCGTCTCGGTGTTTGCCACTCTCTTCTCCTTCGTTTTGAAGAGCCTGTCGATGGTGGGTTAAGAGGCGGAATTGACAATTTCTTGATGACAACTATCCAGAGCGTGAAATATAGAATCGTGGCCAAACCACCAATCCTTTCATAGCGCCATACTTTTTAGTCTGAGCGCCGTGTTTTCCTACCAAAAGTACTGCAGCCATGAACGCGGTTCTTTGGACCTTACTCAATAGTTTTAGGTAACTAGACTTTTAAATTGATGGCCACCGTACAAGGTTTCCACATACATAGCAGTATAGGCCTTACTACGAAAGTCTAAAGCCATTGAGTAATGCAAGATGTTAACTCGCATTTGATTACGACCATTCGCTTACATGTCTGTAATGCAACGTTGGCCTTCTTAGCTCTTAGAGATATTAGCTTTATACGTAAGCTTCCTATCTAATACAAGTCCTATATATTTAACATTCTCCTTCATAATATGTTTTCTTTGTGAATATTTCACTTTAATCTGGGTTTATTTCGAGTCCCCTACTCTCTGTCCAAATTTTTGGCGTGGCCATTATAGAGCGCAGAATGCCCGTAAAGGTATTTGTGTACTTACCTTTAACGGTATTTGCCAGAACATCAGCACAAACAGGGGCGTGCTCACTCCGAGGTCAGCAACAAGGAGTTGCCTGCCAAGTTCCAGATAAGGGGGAAAAGTACTTCGAAGTTTTCAGTCCTACGACAATAATTTTGAATGGAGGATTTGAAGGCAGCCCTAGGGATTTCTGTAGAAGAAAGGTTCTCTTGTATTATTTTGTAGAAGAATACCTCGACTTTAAAACCGTTTTTGATAAGTTGCCTCCACGATAAATTTTATATCCACTCAAAACTAAGACGACTATCTAGAATAACAGAGTAACGGGGAGCACAACCTTCAGCTACATCCAAATCGGGAAGGATGTTTCCGCATCGCTTGAGTGCAAATGACATTTTAGATAAAGCGACTCACTGCCGAGCAATTTCTTCAATCTAATGGTCTGGAAATCTCTGATCTTGCCCTCCCTCATTTGATGTTGCTCAGAAACGTTAATGGTGTCTGAAGGGTTTCATGCGCTTTTAAAAAAAATAATCGCGGACCCTATTGTAACTTGTACCGAAGAAAATGGGCCGCGGAACTGTACAATCTTTACAATGACATGTACCCTATTTTCTGAAGGACTTGACTAATTTGGTGTGAGCTACTGGCGAAATTTCGCAAAAGTCCGTGAAAATTGATAAACAGTTGTAATGACAAATAAGAAGAATGATACCTTGTAAGAAAAATATATACAATTATACATATTTAGGAAAGGTGGAGGGCAACTTCATTAGTACCATGCAAATATTTTGGGTCTATTAACGAAGGTGGTTTATTGGCACACAAGTGTGTCGGACACGCCAGCAAAGTGATTAAGGAATTTCATTGTGTATGCTACAGACCTACTTGCCATCAGTAGTGATAAACTCAAAGGTACTTTGTTGGAGCTACTAAAATACTTAGGGAGTTGCGCACGTAAAATATACATCGATGTTTTGCGATGTACCAGTTAACAAAGACATGGATGTTTTACTACATATATAGTGAAGATTTCTTCATGTGGATTTTTGGTTTCATTTTAATATCTTCAGTTTAAGGTTTTAAGTAATTTTTTTTTTTTTTTTTAAATATGTCTTCGTTTTGACGATAACTCTTCACTTCTGGCAACGCTGTAGTTTCCGTAATCGCCGGAACCGAATAATGTCCAAACATAGGAAGACGGAAATTTGTTACAAAATATATCGTAAAGAGTTGGCTGCTCCCTTACAAAACTTGAAGTTGGTTTCCATTTATTTTTGCTGGAAGTTTGGTATGTAAAAATTATTTTATAGGAATGATGATATTCCCGACCATACAACCCATATTGTGGGCTAAATAATTTCACTATATCACAAATTAGTGTGAGGTATGGCGAGGTATGGCAAATGAAAACTAAGAAAATTCTCCATAAACCATAAGCATCACTTTTCGATCGACTGATGGTTTCGGAGAAATAATAATTTTTTGATTAAAAAATTAGAAAAAATCCAACTTTAATAGGGGAAAAATAATGAGTATTTTTGCTTTTGTAAGAAAATCTATGGTCATATAAAAGACGAGTTAGGGGTCAAATGAAAATGCGCGGAGTTTTTTTATGAAAAATGTGCAGGAAATGATATTACTCATACGCCATGTACACCTGAGTAACACTCTTTATGCTCATTTTTCTTTAAAAAAAATAATCTTTGCAATTTTTATCTCACTGCTAATTCCTTTCTCTTTATCAAACGGTTTTCTTTATTAGTAGCTTGAATTTTTTGTAACAGATCAGGCTTTAACACAAGTAAAAAATGTTTACACTGGAACTGTTTTTTATTCCCTATTAAAGGTTTTTAATTTTTTCATCCATAAAAAGAATAAATATGGATAGATTAATTAATTTCTCAGAAACTATCAGGCTTATCAGAAAGTGATATATATATACAATTTACGGAAATTTTTGCTAGCTTTCATTTGCCAATTAGTTCGTAAAATATCCGTGATTAAGTGGAACCACTTTCTTTTAGCTGAATGAGGTAAATTGCAAATATCTCGGCAACCTATCCATATAAAATAAAAATTAACTCGATTTTCGGAATCAGCGAGCAATTTTACGTTGACATTGGATAGTGGCAACCATGGAATATTTTTGCTGTAAACCAGTGTTATCATTACCGTTGTTATTACAATATGTTCATTATGTTAATATTATAAGATATATATTTAACAGTCTTTATAGTTTAGAGACACTTGCGATTTTGTTAGAATACTCATAGATCCCCCAATTCCTATTGGGACTCTTTTCATGTGTCAATAATTTTACACATACTCGTGCAGTTGCCGTACATCTTCTTCTATCTAAAATAATCAAAATACTCAACTCACATGTATCTACAAGATACACAACTCAATGTGAGAGAAATACATTGAGTCAACGGATCGCCATAACCACCACTACAAACAAAAAGACGAAAATCTTGAACATCGAATTTCGATGCGACGAATGGCCAACGCTTTGCCCAAACTCACAACGATTCGCCACCTCAATTCGATACGACAATTTTAACGAAATTCGACCAAAAATCGAGACGCGCGCGCTAAGTGCACCAACGCCGCTGCAAGAACAACCGCAGTTTAATAATTCGTACATATATACATAAATTAGCAACGGAATATTTAAATGAATTTTTATTCTCAATTTTTCTCAACTTAATGGAAAATAGATTTATTAGTTCATGCAAGAAGCGATAATAAATTTTTGGAAACACATAACAACCAATTAACGCGAACAAACGAGAAGAAGAAAAAAACACTTAACTAAAACGATTCGAATAATCCGAAAAGAAACGGGAAAAAACAAAAAATAAAAATTAATTCACGGACAAAAATATTTGAATCAAGGAATTTTTCTCTAAAAATTTACGCCACCACAGAAAGCAGTAAATTTTATTCACACACATACATATGTTCCTATGCTGACAAGCCGAAAAAATTCGACGTGCAAAATTTTTTCGGAATACAAATTCAATAGCCAAAATTCAGTTATCAAACGAATTTGTGATTTGTGGTAACGTGTACAATCTCTACTTTACTATACATAAACTAAATACTATCCTCTACTCTATGTATTCTACACCAGTTTTTGTTACATGTGTTACATACGTACATAATTAAATTATCAATACCTAGCATTTTTTTAATAAATTTCTTGTTGCAATTTTTTATGAAAATAATAAAAAAAAAATTTGCATATATTTTTAGAGAAAAAAATTTTTAAATATTGTGCTTGTTTTTTGAGTTATTACCCCACGTACGCCTAGAATAGAGGAGCTTGTGCTGAATTTTGTTACAAAAAAAAAAAAAAAACAATATCTGAAAACTTGAAGTTTACTAAAAAGAAAGAAACATTCATTGAAACATTTTAATTCAAAACAACAAACTTGAAACTCAGAGTGCCAAAAATGGTTGCACAGTGGCAATTAATCAATCAAAATTATAAAAATATGGATGGTAATTTTCCCAAAGCAAAAAACAAAATCTGTACATAAGTTTGCATACTGCACGTGTTTCATGTTTTACATATCCACACATCGCTGTGTACATATGCGTATTAATACATAAAAACAAGTAAAAAAAATAAATAAATAAAATAAAAAACTTAAAAATTCACGATAAATAAAAAATAGCTTCAATTAATAAGTAGAAACAAAAATTTCCTTAATAATATTAATTTAAAAATTTATGTATGTAAATATTTTTATGCAAAAAAATTATAATCTTAAAAAAGTTATGTTAAACAAATTTTTTAAATATATTTCTCCTTCAATGATGTGATCACACGTATTAAAATATAAGCGAATTGCGCCCGGCCCCCAAGTCAGTGCCGTCGTCTTTGTCACTATTGTTGTTATTGTTGTTACAATAAGCAGCAGCAGTGCACCGCTGTCTTCATCGCTCGCAACGCCAGCCTTTCGATTGGTGCGCTGTGTGGTGACGTGCTCATCTTTGTCAACGTTCCACTTTTGAATATTTATTTATTTCGCTCATTGCCCAAATTTTAAACACACTTGGACATACGAATGACTGTATTGATAGCAAATGGCATATGAAAGAACTATGTAAATACACATCCGTCCATACATACATATATGTATCTACATAAATAAATACTCCTAGTAGAGCAGCATGATATTAAAAAAAAAAAATAAATAAAAATCTGCGTTCCTCTGGCGGCTATTATTTGTTGTCGTCCAAATTATCAATGTTTTTAGTATTATAGAGGGAAATATGAGCACTGAAATCATCCGTTTATATGTATGTGTAAACTTTTATAATAGCCAGAATTCTATGGCATACAATTTTTCAACTTATATGCGACAAAAATTTATTTTTATGCGAAAAACTATGCCAAAATGTTGGTGCATTTTCGTGAGTTTGCTCGCAAACTAAATGGAATTCCATTTTATTTTCTATTCAGTCTTTTTGAGCACAAAATATGTAAAAAAAAAAACCAAAACAGGAGCTCCTATTAAAAATGATACATACTTATAACATATTTTCCGGAAATAGCGGCATACATATGTTTTTTTTTTTAAGGTATGCTATTAGTTTTGAACATAATGTCCAGTTTTCCCCTTTTGCGCTGATAGTTTTTTATTCGGAAAATTGTGTTTCCTGTTATAAAAATATTTACATTTTTTAACTGAAAAGTATTTAGGCAAGCACGTTGTTTAGTATTTTGCCGAACACAAGGCGTTGTTTTCATAAAAGTAATTAAAAGCAAACATTTCCCGTTGTAAATTTGTTATTATACAGTTCTAAAAATTTGAATTTACCTACAAACTGATAAAGGAATTTTAACATTTATTAATTAACTAATAACAAAGTCCGCCCTACAAATCATTTCGAGCGAAAAATTCGACCAAAAATTATTGAATAGAGGCATTCTTCTTCTTTATTGGCTCTGTAACCGTCTAAGCAATTTTGGCCGAATCCAAAACAGCACACAAGTCGTTTCTCTTCGGTGCCAGCTGATGCCAATTGTAAAATCCTTCCTGGGCCTTCCTCTACCTCTGTTACCAGCATCGCGAACCGGGATGAATAATTTCAGAGCAGGAGCGTTTCTGTCCATTCGAAGGACATGGCCAAGCCAGCGGAGCCGCTGAATTTTAATTCGCTGCACTATGTCGAAATGCTTGTAAATCGTTCGCAGAGTTTTTCTCTCGAAAACTCCAAGAGCCACTTCATCAGGGTTCTTTCACTGCCCATACCTACGCGCCATAAATCAACATAGACATGATGATGAGTTTTCTACGACGAAGGAGTTTACTTCTCAATTGGCTACTCAGTCCAACATAGCACTTATTAGCAAGAGTGATTCCCCGTGGGATTTCGATGCTGACATTATTATTGGCGTTAATGCTGGTTCGCAAATAAACAAAGTCGTGTACTTTTTTCTTTCATTCTTTTTAAATCGTTCCCATTTTCCTACACAAAAGTCCAATGCCAAAATAAGATAAACCAGTTGTATGAATTATAGAAATTTGAAAATTTGTGTTGAGAAAAAGAAGAAAAAGCAAAGAATTTCACTATAATATATTGAAATACTACTATTTTTCAAAAGTTCCATTTTGGCACTTTGTGCAAAATCGAAAAATTAAGTGCCATTTGAAGTAAAATAGGGCCAAAAATGGCACGGTTTGAGCCAAGTGGGCAGCCCTGCCGTAGCCTTTGTTTTTACCGATAATAGTTGTGTTTTCTTATTCTCCAGCAAGAAATATCCAGCAACGAAATTTCGCAATAAGTTGCTAGTTTTATGAACAGCTGATTAATTTGTTATTTTCCGATGCAATTTTCTTAGAAAACTAGTATTTTCCATCTTATTATATATTTAAATGGGTTTCTTTTGTCAATTGCAACTCTAAAAGTACCTCAAACAATTATTTTGTTAATGTGTGTAAGTAATAAAAGATAGAATAAAACTAAATTTCATTGAAATCGGATTAAATTTAATGTTTTCATCCACAAAATTATTTTTAAGAAAAATTAAAGCATCAAAATTTTAAACTTTTTAATACGACTAGGTAAAAAATCTAGTATGCACCTGTATAGCCCATTCAATTTGTTATAATAATGTGCAAATTCCAAAGGTCTCGAAATTCGTGTTGATTTTTGATAATTTTTTTTTCACTGTCCTACGCATTTTTCCCAAAAATATGAAGATTTTCAGATTATTTTTTTATATGGAAAAAATACGTAAGACTGTCAGTAAACAAAGAATAGCAAACCTCAAGTTTGAAATTTGCCCATTGTTTTACAAAAATTTAATAGACCATACATTTGTTTTATAAATTAAATTACATTTGTTATATAATTAATTAAAAAGTTTGCAAGTTTAATGAAACTTTGCAGAATACTTCTAAATTTCGAACACAGTTTGAAACTTGATTTTGTATGGAGTTTGTTAAAATATAAGCTATGTTTTAAAAAAAACCTAACATAAAATATTTAGCATGAAAATCATGGCATATTAAAAAAAAATCGCCGTATACTAAACTTTGTGAGTCGCTGTATGTATGTATTAAGCAAAATGCAATTGAAATGTGGGATGGATGACATGAAAAATGTGCTTCCAAGATCGTAATTATTTACCCAATGTGGCCACTTTAATCTGGAGTGAATGACTATTTGACAGGAGACGGACTCTTTAAGTTGCTAATTTTATTTTGGCATCCTTGTACTTCTGTTTTTTAAGGAGGCAAAGTTTTAACGGGCATTATACAAAATTTGTGTAATTAAAATTGTACTGCTGTCTGAAACTAGCCTTTGACGGAAAGAAGGGTGGAAAAAAGATCGATATTTAAGTACACCAATGTCTTAGAGGCGGATGTTGTTGATTTTGATGTTTTTTGAGAAACTATTGGTACATCGAATCATCAATGTTCTACTTCTTAGAAGAAAAACACTTCCTTGCCAGGTCCGGTAGTTGGAACGACTCATATAACGAAATTTTTAGCTTATTGTAATTTTTGTTGGAAAGTCCCTGGTATGACCAATGACATGTTTTGGTATTTGTTGTTCAAATTTCTTAAGATTAATAAAGGTTTTTAGAAAATATGGTTCCGAACTTTTCATTAAAATGTTTAGCAAGCATTTTCAATTAATTACACACATACATTTGTAAATTCTGTCATTGCTTTATTCAAAAAGTAAGATTAAAATTACTTCTCTGTCAAAGAATTAATGGATACACGAGAATTTTCAAATATCAAAAAGCGAATGAGTTAAGAATCATTAATCTCTTCAAAAAGAAAAATACATAAATACACATCTATCTACGAGCAGCTAAATAAATTATCGAAATCACTTGGCAGGTGAGAAATGTATTCAAATCTAGAGATTTATTTTGAAAATTTTTTCTTGCTTATATGTATGCTTGTACATTAGGCTGCATCACCCTCCGTACAAAAAAAAAAAACTCGATACCGTTTTTCCGTCGAAATTATAAAATGTCTTATATTTTATAACTTCCGCCATCATATTTCGGAAATCACTAAAATGTATGTATGTGAGCTGGATCCAATTGAAAATAACTCCAAAAATCGAGTTCTTTATAGATTAAATTAGGTAAGATTAGGTTTTGAAAATGTTTTTTCACAAAAAATCACCTCGGATGATAAAATAGATTAAGCTTAAAAGTCTGCTTAAAAATGTTTAGACATTTTTTTCCCAAGAAATTTAAATAATGAGATTTTTGGAGGTTTTATTTCTAAATATTTTTACGAGCCATTTTGGCGGAAGTTCTAAAACTTTTTTGTGGTGATGCACCCTAAACCCAAACCCAAAAACACTCTGCAATTTCAAAGTCGCTTGCAATTAAAAAGTATAGAAAAATATTCCAAAGAAAATACACATACGAAAAATAGAAAGTCGGCAACGCAAATAAATAGACCAAAAAGACTAGACAAAATGGAACATCAGCTGCAGACATGAAAGTAAAGTCAAACGATGCCAAGTGAACAAGCACGCATACACGGGCGAATGAGTAACACATTACTTGAGCCGCTAAAATTAGCATCAACAACAATGCACAAACATTGAAGCAAGCAAGCAAGCATGTGTTGTGGCATATATTCAGTAAAAAAGTGTGGCATTTTAGGGGATCATATATGTACATACTATATACATATTTTATATCATACACTGGCGGTCAAGAGTGGATGAATGTAGTTTTATTTTTAATATCTACAATGTTATGTTTTCGAGGCTAAAATTTTTTTGTTATTTTTTTTTTAACATGGTTCATAATTTAACAAAAACCATATAAATCAAACTCACAAATTTTACACAGAACTTAGAAAAGTTTCACAAACGTTCATAAAAATTTTGGGCTTTTCAAAAAGAACTTTTATAAAATTTTTGTGTATGCAGTGCAAGCGACTTGAGCGACTCAGAAATCGCACTGATTTTTAAAAATTTTTTTGCTGCGGGTTTGTCCGTTTTTTTTCATA